TGGGATCTACCCCAATCCCCTGGCCTGCAGGTGAACCGACCAGTGCGGTGGATATGTTTCTCTACCCGGGCGGCTGCACCGGTGCCGGTTGACTGGCGAAGGACAAAATCACTTCACCAATCAGGAAGCGTCCTCTAACCTCCAACATTTGTGAAGCTGATGCGCAAAGAGATTTTGAAAGATCCTGTGTGTCTGGGATATTTTGGCGCCAACGTGGCATCAGATTCGATCTATCGTACAGTGCCGATCAGAAAGGTGGTCACTGCGTGCGGAAATTCTTTCTGTTTTTGCTCGTCGGTGCTTCCGAACCACCACTGGTTGAAACATCAGATCGGTAATGCTGAGGTAGGCCAAATGGTTTTCGGGAAACCTAACTTACTTGATAGACCAACTTGTCACACTCCATAAGCTACACTGGTCAGGTCACGTTTCGTATGCCAGAGAGCAGTCTTCGTCAAGCCGTGCGTCGGGTATGGACGACCCGGGGGNCCGATTGGATCATTGCACCTAGTTGTGAACGTCCAGACGGAATGCGAGTTTCTGCAGTGGTAGCTGATGTTTATTCGCCAACCGGGTTCGAGGTAGCTCGGTAGTGAAGGCGCGAACGTACTGAGATGAAATTTCGCGATTCGGACCCAACCCGGCATCTTGGACTGGTTCCGTCAAGGGTTGGGTAACCTGGCACGACAGTTATGCGCCGTGGATCATATCACTATTACAACTAGTTCTCTGCACATTTACCTTCTGCCTCAGCTCCAGACATATCTTGATATTGACTGGTTTTCCGTCGCCACTATCACTTAATTAGTTTGATGATTTTGTGTGCGTGCTGGAAATACAAACGATTCTGATGGCTTTCAGTTGGCTTCTTTGGGATGAACCAATATTGTGAAGTTCCCCACGTGACTGGTGGTCCAACTGGATTGTGTTTTTAAAAAGTCATCCGTACGCTCATCGCTTACTGCACTTTGAGCCTTGCCCCGAAAGTATACTCTAAAATTGACCATAGAATTAGCGTAAGGGAAACTCCACATAAGCTTTAGGAATATGCTATCCACTAGCTAACATCACCTTGCTGAGAGACATGGTTCCTTCCACCATCCCCACGAGCAATCCTAGGGTTAACGAGTGGAACAAAATCCATATAAGCTGGAAGAGAGGGGTCTTCTATTAAACCATATCACGCTACCACAGGACACAGTTTCTACCAATTAGTTCTATTTGTTTCACAACCCTGATCTTTGAGCATACTGAGTGGGCGTCTCAACCTTCGCATGTCTCTTTGTGGAGACTATACGCACCAGCCCTGACAGACTCGGTTCTCCACTACCTAAGGAATAAGACTGCAAAACAGGAAGTCGGGGAGCTTAAGTCTGCAACCAGACTGGAACGTAACCAGGGGAACAGAAGGCGTTTTCAACGTGAAAAGCTGGACGTCGAGCTCCACTAACGACGACTCGGATGCGACGCTAGGAACAACTGACGGCAGTTGTTAATCACGTCCAGATAAACGTTCAGCTGTAACACTTTTGAGGCCTAGCTGTCATGTCATCCGAAGGAAGCACGAGGTCTGGGATACTGCCAGGTTGCCCAAGCTTCACAGTAGAAATTTTCGGGGGTTGAGGTTATAATGCTGACAGGAGGTGATATATTGAATTCGAGATGGGGCTCGCCCCATTAGCTAACAAATTCACACACTGGAATTCGAAAACATTTAAAACAAATCGAGAAGTCAACTCCTCAGAAAAGTCTGTAATCTGGGGGCTTCTAAGATCTCCTGGTTCATATCATATGAGCTGACAATGCAAATGACAATGTAAATGTTGTTCACACTTTTTGGCGGTCTGTGTGGGTAAGTCGGTGCTACGATAAGTTGGTTAGCGGCCAGATGTCATGCGAATTATTCGGGTTGAACTTTCTACGTCAGATCTTCATCACATTTGACTTGACCAATCATTGTGCATCGCCAAGTGTTGACTCAAATGACCTAAAAACCGCTCGCGGGCTTCATAAACTCTATTCTAGTCACGTTGGGTTGCTTGGGGTCTTAACCGCACCTGCCGATAGTTACTGGGCTGTGGATCTCCTGAGAACTTCCGACATTTTCTAAACCTATTCTCCATCCTGTACCTAATGCATGCCTTACGATCCATTAGAGCAGCTCTTGATATTCGTACGCATTTTTATTTGTCCATTCAGTTTACTCTAGTGCTCAACAGTTCCGGAGAATAGTTCTCGGCATTTAGTACTATTCGA